CATCCAAAGTGGAAAAACTAGTTATTTTTTTAACCAGTGATAGTTAATAAAGGTCTTCCAGAAGAAAAGGGAACTGTAAGTATGCTGCTCCCTTTCTTGAATCATTCCCCCTAAACAGACACTTAGCCCCAAACTCCAAGTAGGAAAGGAAAAGGTGGGAGAAGTTACAAAAAGGAAGAGAAGTGAGGTACAGATGTGAAGAAACGCACAACAGACAAGACATGGAACTCTGAAAACTGGAAAGAAAACAGAATCAGACTTGGATAGGAATCCAGAGAAAATGGCAAAGTAGTAATTTATAATGCACATCAGTCAGTCCTGCAGGCCTGTGCTGTGACATAACACTCATGAGACTTTCTTCAGTGGTAAGGATGCCCTTTTCTCTGAAGTTACATGCCTTTATAGAAAAACATCCCAGACAGGATTACAATATTGCACATACTTCATGCAAACTTCATTTCTGCTTCACAGCAATAGCTATGGCAGACACCGCAAACATTTTACTGTCTGCGCAGGAACATTTTACTTGTGAGATGAGAGTTGAACAACGTGAGGCAAGGAGAATCAGCACAGCCCATCTGCTGGATTTTTATACACCCCTTCGTCAGTGACCAGTTTGTCTAGGTCAGTCAGTCACGTTTTGCTTAGAAGTGGCTGGATTGGCTCTCAAGGACACCAGAAACACAAATTCATGTTTTGTTCTGGTATTGCCCATTTTAAGTACTCTTGACATGAACCTAACCAGCAACCTGTAAATAAAGTCCAGCCATCCTCACAATTTGGGTATTTTTTGAGCCAGCACCTGGCAAGCCAATTTGCCCCATGCCCTCTGCCACTGCTGTTCTCATCTCTCCTCTTGAAAACCACACGTACGTGTCCTCAAATTCTGGGCACTGCCTTAGCTCTGGTCTTAGCAGTACCAAGGTGCACCTGGCAAGAGGGTGTCCAAATTTAAAAGTCCGTCATGACAGCCGGCCCAGCACTTATGCTTCTGGAGCAGCAACATCCTCCCAGGCATAGGTGGCAGCATTCAGCTGCTGGGTCAGGCTTGTTAAACCCACGGCCTCTCCCCGCATTATCTCCATGGGAGACCATAGGCAACTCCGTGGGTTTGTCTTCCTGAGTTCCCTTGTTGTTTAACTGTCTTGTAAGTCACGTTATTTCAGGCGTTTCCTGCGTCTGAAAATGTTTTCCCAAGCCCTAATCGGAAAACGTACTGTCGAAGTTAAAGTAGTCAAGTAAACAATGTTAAATTGACAATTGTTACAACTGTACCTTGGTCTCTTTGGAGCTGTCCTCTCACTTAAGGATTTTCCTGCCTCCCAGTTTTTTATGTCTAAGTCTAAGAAAAGTAAACAATCAGTTTCCAGTTAGTCTGATATGCGGTACTGGGCTTCGCTTAAGTAAGAAAGGCTAATTGGATCCTGCTATAATTTACACCAAATGTACCCTAGTCCCAACCATCAACATGATTCCACCCAATACAAACATTTGTATCTCTGACTCTTTAAAAAAAGAATGTTAAAAATCAAAACTATGCTGTAGGGGGAAAAGAAACCCAAAACATACCAATGCATTGATTCATCTGCATACATGCTGCTATGGACAATTTTACAAGAACTGTAATTGGGGATAGGAATTCAAACTGATGTACAGACAGTGTAGTAGACTTGATTCTGAACAAACTTTTGAGTAATTTTCCCTGCACCTTATTTCACCTCTCTTTCACATGGAGCCATGGGATGTAGCTCTTAAATCCTGTGTCTGAGTATCAGATGAACATTCCAGTTTGTCAAAATAAGGTTTTGGAAATATCACCACAACAGGGAGATGTGGCAGTATTGAAGGTTGCAACCAAACACAATTTTAAAAAATGTATTTTTAAGGGAACAGTATACTGATAGTATAGCGATTTATTTAATCGATGATCCTGTGACAGCATCATACTGTTTTAGACTGGAGTAAAACTGCCTGTGGAGCACAATGGTTTTGCCTTCTCCCGTTTAGATTGCCCGTGGTAAGACTGCTACAGTAACAAACTCTTTCTTCAAGCCAATCCTAAAGCAGGAACACTTCCCCCCCCTCCTCCTCCAGCTGCTAAGCAAAGAATAAACTTTTAGTTTCGCCCCTCCTTTATTGGAAGGGGAATAGGGTAATATGCTGTAATTGGTTTTCCATGTTTGCCAAGAGTCTGTTTCCTCTTATCATCCACAATATTTAACATAAGTCTTGTAATAGTTCCAAAAATAATAAAATCTGTCCCAAGAATAAAAATGATAGATCCACAACATGCTGCTTTTTTGTCATGGTCTTGGTTTCATAACATTCTGTTAGTAGTTTTTATTGCCTAATGTTGTGGTTTCTTTCATACGCAGCAGACCCAGTAAAGACATTTCATCAGCTACTTACACAGCAGCAGCCTGGATTATTTACAAATGGAGATTTCAGTACCATATTAAAATAAATCACCACTGCATACTGTTAAAGTTACACTGCAGTAACATGGCAGAAGAAAAGCCAGATATTCTAAGGGGAGGAACGTTAAGTATATACAAATCAGAAACATGATATCAGCAAACACATTTATTAAGATATCCAAATAAAACCTGTTAGTCTTCCTCCTTCTCCCCTATCTCCTCCTATGTCTCCCTGCACATGCAAAACAGTACAGGGGGTATGTGTAACAAGTAACAGAACCCAAGCAATACTTTCCTCATGGTTTTGTATTGTGCAGCAAGACAGCACATCCTTATCTCCCTCTGTCCCACCCTTCCATCCCAAAGCAAATGCCCCACACTGGGCAAATTCCCTTAAGCACAAGTGTAATGGATGTGGAGCAGTAAAGATGGAAAGTGGCACTTTGCTCACTGGATTCAGCTTGAATGAAAAAAATACCACAACAGATAAGACAAAAAGGAGATATTACACATGAGAAACTTGATTTAGAGGGAAAAACAAACCAACCAACCAATCAACCCCAGGAAGAATGCTGTAGGACAATCAGTAGCATCAGAAGAATAGTCCATGGAGAGGAATCATTATCTGAGGCATCAGCATTTACAAAAGCAATACTCTACTGGTAACAACTTCAAGAAAAATGCAGGCACATTGGTGTGCCCTCATGTAGAATGATTACTTAAAAAAAAAAAAAATCCTTTAATGCCCAAAATTGTCTTCTGGTATTTCTGTTGTTTTAATACACATTTTTTCACTCAGATTCAGTTTAACTGTAACTTAAAACCTGATAAGAGGTTTTCTTTTCTTCCCAAGAACAGATTTAGTGCTTTAACAGCCACAGGTAAACTCTTAAGGCAGAAACATCTTCCCCAACTTAAATGTATGCCATGTAGCCTAAAACTAATCAGTGCCCTCCTAACCCCACCAATATATAAATATTGTGGTCAAAGGCTCTTCAACTAGTCAACAACACAAGAACTAAGCATCACAAAAAGCGTAACACATCAGAAAGGAGACCTCTCTGGAGCACAGGATGAAGCATTCGCTGCCTGCTAGGGGCTTCAGACAGTCTCTCATTATTTTAGCTTATCAGTGTTTTGGCAGTCATTTACCTTAAGTCATTGCTGAGTCTGATCTTGCACAGGAATAAATCATAATGATGGAAGTCAACAGAAACACACTGGTATAAGATTGAGGGGGAGTGTTAATCTTTAAATGACTGCCAAAATTCCCAGAGCTTCTCATTTTAAGTAGAAATAAGACAGAAGTCTTAAGTCACTCTTCGAGGATTTGTCACTCCAAATTTACTCTTTTGTAAGTTATCTATGGTTTATACCACATGCTAAACTGGGAGTATAGGGAAACTGCACCTCGGTATGATTTTTCAGTATTGATAGTTTTACATTACATGTAACAGCTGTACAAGTTGCTGGGGAACAATTAAATGTTTTAATTCTTTGGTTATGACAAGGCAACTGGAATTCAGCATGAAACTCAGCAAGTTATCAGTCACTCATGTACAAGTAAAACTGAAACCTGTGAAAGAATAACCTTGTAAAGCACATGCTCTAGAAGTAAACTCTCATTGCTAGGTTCTGTGCTATGTAATTTTCAAGTTCTAATGGGATAAAACAGCATCAGGGGCTTCTCAAAAAACCCACAAAAATGCCAAAATTTCTAACTAGCAACAAAAGGATTATGTACAAAGCTTATACATGTATTATGAACAAAGCTTGTGAAAAACACAGCCAGAATGAGAGGAAACTTTGGTTTTCTTCTAGCTCCTCTTTGAAAGTACCAGATTCTTAATATAATGTACAGTAAAAGACTGGCATGTAAACCAGGACCAACGAGCAGGATCAGAAAAATCAGTACTGCAGCACATTCCCTTGCCCCCCCCCAAGTAAAAAAGCACTAGTGACTCTTTGCTAAAATACTCCTAGATTCTGGGTCAGTTCTATACATCTTCCATGCTTTCAGAAAATGAGTGGCTGTCAGAACCTGTAGTGTTGTAAATCTTCACCACTTAAAACACCATGCATTTTTGTTCTCGGGACAGGATACAAATTCCTCTCCTCTGTTCCTTTAACAGGGGCAGTTTTTATGGCTAAGAAATTTACTCCCATTTGTAGCTGAAGCTGCTATAGAAAAGCATGCTTTTCTCCCATCTCATCTCAATGTTGCCAGTTGCAAAAAATCTTCAAGCAGTTAATTCAAGCAAGCACTCTTGTTCCTTCATTCCTTCTTGAGAGCATCTAGTTATTACAAGCCAGTTTTCCCTCAGCATCAATGCAATTCTGTCCCATGATGTTACTATCACGCAACAGAATTTTCAAGCTTCAACTGAAACTGTGTGTTGTAAGTGCAAACTTCATATAATAAACAGTTAACAGTTGAAAGTATGTAAATGGCACAGCCTCTTAAGACTTTATATTGCATTGCTTATAATGCTCCTAAATGTGTAAAACCAGTTGAAGTTGGCAACTAACATAAATCCTTATTGGTTGTCCCTTCCCCCAAATACAAACAAAAGGTTCCACACATTTTTTTAAACTTTATTTAATCTCAGAACCACTGCTATGTTACACCTGTCAGGCTAAAGTTTATTCACTTTTGATGTTAAAGTTCTGACAATAAGAATGGATGACATGAGGATCCACGTTCCCCAGTGCTGTGTTGCAGTCAGTATTGGTCCAGTAAGACAAAAGTTTTGTAGTTATTTCCTGCCTTTCCCTGTTTGATGGTTTGTTTTTTGTTTTTTTTTTTTTTTTAAGATACATGAATCATGGCCTAGCATTAGTGTCACCCTTTATGTGAAATTTATTTAAATAGCATGAGATGGAAACTCATTTGTTTCCTCATTTGTAGGAAAAATGTCATAAATATTCTGTATACTTTAACAAAAACACTTAAACACAGGATTTTGGTTTGCACTGTTGCAACCCCTTCATTTGAGGCAAAACATCTCCCCTCCCCCAGCCACCACATAATAAGTACCAAAGCATCTCTAGTTTTGTTTTTCATCAAGATTTCCAAACTGGCAGATTTTATTTTCACACCCTCTTCACAATAGACAAGATGCTTACCATATATTTAGGATTACAAGTTGTCACTAAAAGAAAACTTTACACAACCACTGTACATTTAGGTTGAAAAACTGTCCTTGCATGAAAAATATACCTAGAAATCAAGTGGTAAAACAAGAGAAGAACATTAAGAAAAGATTGAAGTTTTTATAATGTGCCATTTTAAATTTATCAACTCCTCCTCTACTTTTCATTTGTACTCTGTTTTTACCTACAGTATTCGTTAAGGCAAACAGCTAATCCATTTCTGAAGAGGTGCTGTGGAAATTGTGGACAAACAGCAAACATTTGGCATTAAAATAGATAGCACGTATGTAGCCTCTAGTAATATATATTAAGCATTTCTCTTGGACTTCAGGATAATGACAGGGGAGGATGAACATGCTAACAATGTCAAAAAGGCTTAAAATTTAGCGTCCAAGCAATTTCTATTAATGCTTCTGTAGTTTTCAAGCTCTAAGTAGTATAGAATTTATGCAAATGCATTAAAGAATTCTAGCTTGGCAAGTACACCCAAGCAGGTTATTAAACTATATATACAGAAAGTGATAAATACAGAATTAAAAGAGTCCTTCTGCTTCTCTTTATAGCCTTGAAAATTGACAAAAAACTTGAGGACAGCTCTACAATATTAAACATTAGGTAACCGCAGGAGCTGGGAAACCTAACTACACAAACTGATTAAAATACTCAGATGACTTTGTAGTGTTTAATACAATTCAGTTCGTAGTCAAGGGCACAAGACAACATTTAACAAAAATAATCACATCAATTGACCTAGAAATCAAACGTAAATAGATATGAATACAATCTCCAAAATCTGTCTTTAAGTGAACATTAACCATTTATTCAAAGTTATACAAGAATTTGAAGGATAAAGTCTTCTGCAACAGGAAACCAACTTACAAGTTTCATGTCTCAGTTGAATTGAAGTGGAGGCGAGCGGGGCAGGGGGGAGGGAAGGAGGGGTGAACAAACAAGTTAGTAGGCCCCATCCAGGCAGCTAGAAAGTAAAAACAGGCTCAACAGCAGCCTCCTCCAGCTTGTTGTCCTCCCTGATTGCCTGCAAGTGTTGCATTAGTAGCAGCATGTTGAGGGCCAATTTTTATGCCATTTGCCTGAAATGAAGTTTAATACACAGTATAATTATTTTAGAACACTAACATACTTGAAAAGCTTTTTTTTTTTTTTTAGAAGATCACATAGCATGTTCTGCTAATGTATGAAATAAATATAGCAAAATTGATATAATTTTTTAGCAATATGTCCTTGGTGATTAAATATAAATGAAGACGCTTTTCTTCTCATTTAAATTTTATCTCTATGTTGAACTTTGTACATTAAACTCCTAACACAAAACACAGATCAAGAGTTGTATTTGACTACTACTTAGCATAAGGCTTTAAAAGTACATAGCATTTGCTAGGAACATAAAACCTCTCCCTTCTCACCAAACTCTCCACTAGTTTAATAGTTTAATATAAAACTTTTCCTCTCTAGACAGCATTTCTTTCTGTGTTGAATCAGCTGTAGAGGCTAAGGGCATACGAGTGTTCTGTGTCATCAATAATTTCTATGATCCTGAAAGACATGGCTACTTGCCAAGAACCCACACACAGCGTAGCTCTTTCATTCATCAAAATCACACTTATATCTTAACCCTCACTCCCTCAAGTGGATTTTACCTAAAAATACAGCACTTTGAGAAAAGTAATACAGTAGCTTCAGAAATTAAGCTCTTAAGGAAACTTTGCGTCACAGTAAATCTCAGATTTATAGTGCTTGGCAGTTGTTCTGCAACAGTGGTAGCCTTGGGGTTTCTGGCACTAGCTCAGTATTGACAGCAGCTGATGTGGTTTCTTTTCGCTCTTTGACTCCTCTTTAATAAAAAGCATGCCCTATGGCTCATTGGTTTTGCCCCCTCTGGGCTGATAGCAACTTCTTGAGGAATCAAGGAGCCAGACTTGGCATAAAGCCAAATAAATAGCACGGACTGTTGGCTCTTGACAGCATATTGCAATCAAAGCTCCATAAGGCACACTAAAGCAGTCAAGCTACTATATGAAACTCGACAGATACAATGAGCATGCTTTTTCAGACACTCTGATTACCATCCAATTTATATTGCACTACCGAGTACTTTTTCTTTAGGAAATATCTTAAAGAAAATTTAAAATTTTCCATCACTAAACTGAATTTAAAGAGTGTTTCACCAAAACACCATATACACACACACTTTCGAGTCAGAATTCGTGTCTTTGAAGGATTACTATGCAAGTCGTATTTAGCTACAAGTTTCCTAATGCAAATACTTTGCAAACTACTGAAGTTTCTAATTATTGCCTTTCTAAGTTGTAAGAGCAGTATTTTTAATAGTCTAAATTCTCATGTTGAAATATATTAAGCAGAAAGAGGTAAAGCCCTTTAAAATCGAGTCCTGCCAATTCCCTTGCTACTCTCTGAACAATTCTGCAAGGACTATCATGCTTAAGAGAAGTGTCAGACAGTCCCAGACAGAGAATGCACCTATTCACAATACAGATACAGAACAGAGTGAGTGGTGGCCAGATTTTCACATGTGGTTTCACTAAGCACCTCAGCGACATAGGGACATGTAGGATAAAAGAAGCTTGGGCATCAGAAAGGACTGACCACACTGTCAAATTTAAACTTCATGTGGTGTGACTTATGTGAGAAAATTAACAGAGAGCTTACATGATCATAACATTTCTATATGATCTAGTATTTCTATTTACTACCACTGAATTTGAAACTGCTTTTTCTATGGCCATGAACCTCTCTGCTCAATATTTTCAACAGCACAACCATTTCAAAATTCAAGAGAGGCATTACAGGTCTTTCTGTGCTCTTTCATTACAAAAGTGCTCACTGCTCCACCTCCCCACCCCCACCCCAAACAAGCAAAGAGACAGGCCCTGATAATCTGTAATTTCAGTAATGTGCATAGGCAAAATGGCTAATCTTTTATTCCCTACAGAATCCAGCCACCTAAACCAGGAACATTTCAAAAGTCTTTTATGTAACTCTCAAAGCAATCCCTCCCCTACACTGGACAGCTCATGGAGTGCATCTGGCATATCAACATGGTCCCCCATTTACATAGTGGAAAATTATCTTTGAAAACAGATGACACCATATGGAGAAGTGGATGAAAGTGGATTTTCTCCTCTTTTGGGGATTTATATTATTTTGTGATGCTTCATGGATGGATAGGGTCACTTATTTTAATCCATTTTTATCACAATGGCAGACAATTCTACATCCAAATGGAACAGACAAATATTTTACTGCCCAGCCTTCTAGGGAAGGTGAGTTTTGTACATTTAAAAACAAACAAAAAGCATTCATAGTACTAAAAGTTACCTCGTTATTAATGTCAAAAACTCCTTCCTGGATTTTCTCGTAGATCTCTTTTGCAGTGTTAATAAACGCCTAAAATAGAGGGAAAAAAACCCACAATCATAATGAATGAGATACCCTTTGGTGTAAAATGCACTAATTGGAATCCTATCTCACATGCAGTTGTTTCAGCAAGACTTCTTCCTGACCTCAGCAGGAACAGGTATGACAACAGCATCCTATAACCTACCCTGAAGTAGCAATGGATCACACGCTGTTTACAAAAACAGTGGTGTTTTCATAACATCTGTATTCTACAATCTGTTGTCCAGTAATTACAGGGAAAAAGTGGTTTTTAAGATATATAAATTACTTTTAAATTATTTATTTCTGACCCTTATGGATAGATTGTGTGGCAGATGGTTTCCCCTACCCTTAATATCTTTGTAATAGGCCACTCTAGATTAGAGTGCTTAGCAACATAAAACCACAGGGTACTTACAATGATGATGTAAGGATGCTGTCTGCTAGATGAAACCTTATGCTATCATTTAATATTCACCTAATTTTAAGAACGTATTCCCTTTAATTAATCTTGCACACGATAGGCAACAGACATCTTAACAGTAGAAATGAGAGGGCCCCAGGTTTTACTATGATTTCTGAAAAACCTATTGTTTGAATTCAGAGAAAAGACTGACATTCATGTCTAAAAAAGTGAACGATATAAATGTTTTTGGTTAAAGTTTACAATCAATGATTCGATTCTTCATCTCTCATTTAACTTTATAGGTCAAGTAATGCTTAAAATAATGTATAATTTAAGAGGTGATTAACAGCAGCTAATAATTACAATCAATATCAAACATACAGGGTTTTTTTTGTGTTAAAATACCAACACCATGCAATCATACAAGATATGCTATCTTCTGCACAAGCCTAATACAGCAAATACAGATCTAATTCAAATATAAAAAAGTAAAACAGGGTTCATGGAAAGGAACAAATCATACCTTTCCTCATTTCTACACTGGAAGCATTTGACTGCTGAACTTGCCACCAGAGCTTTGTTTCCTAATTAACAGGACTGATATGTTTTCACCTTTAAAGGCCTTACAGCTCCCCAGAGTAATCAATCTACTGCAGCTCAATTACTGCACCAAGCACACACCACAGCCAGTGAAGGAGACTTGAACGACTGCAGCAGGAGTGGAAAGATATGAATATGCATAAACTCTAAGTGGGTGATCGAATCATCACAGAGGGTCATGAGAATTTGCAGCAAAATAATGAGAAGAATTAATCATTGCAGATTCACAAGGCACTTAGGAAGTGAGTTCGTTTTTCAAACACGCGTTAGAGTTGAGGAGAAAAATTGGCTTTTGGCCAACAACAAATTGAATCAAATTCCTCAGAAATTGAAGTTTTCAATGTAAGAAAAAAATTTGAACTTATCTTGGTTTCTGATAACACACTAATTATTGTAATAGCCTCATACATGAGCCTACTGAAAGGTATAAGTCAGAAATGACGGAAATTCACACAGCTGGAATCTGTGAGGATACTTGCTTACTTCTACTTCAGTGGGACATTAAACAGAACTTTAAGTCTTAAAAATGTGTTATGATAACTTTATGTAAACAAGCACTTAACAATTGGCACTTCTAACAATTCTAGATGTTTGCTAAGCATGCCTAGGCTCTTAGAATTAATTTAATGAGAATTACATTAGATTATAAAAAAATAGACCAACAAAACAAGAATTCTAACAGACTACAAACTCTAACACAACTGAGTATACAGTTACCTTTTGGATACTACACTCAAGAGCAGATCACCACAGGAAGGCATCTATCCTCACAAAAAATAGTAAAATGCACTGGAAAACAGTGTGATTTAACAACACTCAATTCCCCCCCACACCCCTAGTTATTACACGTGTACTATACGAAGTGTAAAAAAGCATACCAAGTCCATTGATCTGAAAAATTCAAACATTCCATTCATCTCAGTTCTATCATTTCGGCTGTCTTGAAAAGACATAGTCTGACTACCACCTTTCCATCAGTGATTCTGGCGTACCTCATGTTAGTGTTAAAACAGCACGTACTGTTATTCTGGCTGGCAAAATGCCAGACTGCACTGGGTCACATATAAATAATTCCTATTTGAAAACAATGGTTAGACAAGAATATAGCACATAATAAGTCTACCTCATGTTTTCTTCAGTTGGTATGGGTTCTGAAAAATTAGTACTAATCAGCCATGAAGAGAGACTTGCATCCCTTGAGACTTCCATTTGTTTCTTACATCCATGTATTTTCAGTTAGTTTATGCTTCAAAGTGTAAGTGGACTTAAAATAACCGCCTGAGAACTTCACTGAAAACAGCAGTCTACTCTGTTTAAGAATATCATATCAGATTTTGGCACTGCATGGTAGCACCCCATTTAACAAGGATAAGAAGGTGAACTCGGTATAACTGACGACTTCTAAAAATCTCTTTTAATACTGCATGTTCTAACCCTTATCTGGAACACACAGTGTACTATAAACTCTCCATTATTTATGGGCAGTTTATCCTATTTGCAGATTAACTGAGCCATGGATGCAGAAAGACACAGCGGTTTCCCCTCAAATCCAGTTTGGATTTGTTAGACCATGTGCAGGGGACTGCAAGAACACAGCTGTAGCCCTTCACACACCAACTTGGATCCAGGTGCAGTTTAGCCACTTCCACACAACACAAGACCTCAACCAGGAAGCCCACACAGACCTGGCTGGCTGCCTACCAAGCCTACTGTGGTTGCAGCGTACATTCCTGTTATGCTGCTGTTACTAAAACGCTACACAAAGACACTTGAGCACTTCTACCCCAAATCAGCTCTGGTTCAGGTTCATTTTCACCACCCCTGGAGAGGCAGTACCAAAGCCAATCTGGATTCATAATCAGTCACCTGAAAAATGGCAAGGCCCAAGTACACAGTACCTCCATTTCTTGGAAAAGAAAGAGAAACTTGAAACTTTTGGAAAAACAGTAAGTTAGACTTCCAAATATAAAAATTCTAGACTACATTTCAGGAAAATGAAAGAAAACAGCATAACGTCAGGAAAATATCTACATCTAATGTTTAACTCTTGGTTTTAATCTTTCTAAATCACAAATTACTGGTGCTTTTATGCATGAGACTACTGAATGGATCTGTACCACAGCATCAAAAAACCCCCTTGTATACAAGTTATTCAGTGAGCTGTTTTAATGTAACATGTTTTTCAATTGTGTTCACACCATAACTAGGTTCTCAAATAATAGTAATAGCCTGCCAAGGAAAATTACATTTCTGTACAAGTGGGAAAGTGAGTCTTATAAGATGTGATCTGTCTGTTATGTCACATCTGCACCTACTGCAAAGCTAATGAAGGAGGTTTCTGAGTCACAATATGCCAGTATAATATCACTTCAGATGACTTGCATAAGGAATTTCCTAGATCATACTGCTACATGGGAATCACTAAGTCAAGTCTCACAGTACTCACCTCAAAAAACCCCCTAAACAACTCAAACCACAAAACCCCAACTACCAAACAATACAGATGCTGCATTTAAGATAAATTAATCCTAAACACACTGAACATAGAATTAAATCAACTTCAACATACATTTTATTATTCAAAGTAAACAAGCAATGTAAGTTTACTACCCTTCAGACATAACCAGGAAGAATGAATTCTATAACTGATAAAAAAAAAACATAAGAAGGGAGTAAGTTCCTGACGCTTCTGTCTTTTGGCAGCTGTATGCAGAAGTAATAATAAACAGAGTGCGAGTTATAGAACAGCTACATTTAGTTTTTACTTGGCAGATGACAATAACGTCACTTCTTTCTCAGAAAGCTAATGCCATGACAAGTATTTGAGGACTTAGCTACAAGCTGAACATAACAGAAAAAAACTTGTAAATGAATCAGTGATACTTTTCAGAATTCAGATTTTACAAGTTCATCTTTGCTTAAAATCAGAATAATCAGGTTCTCCACTGCCAGCTCGTGTAACATGCTGCCCTCTGGTGGCAATATAAAAGTTAAATTTAGTGCTCTGAAATACAAATTCGTCAGTCATTATTTCCGGATGCTTTCTTACTACTAACGGTTAAGTATCTCACAAATTCTAAAGCATGACCCTCACCTCTGTGGTCAGCCAACACCTAGAATTTCCTCCTCCTTCCTGATTTCCTCTTACCTTTTAGCAGTAAGATACAAGATTACTTGATTATTAAAGAATGAATTTGGAAACAGTAACAACATGGACCACAAATGGATTTACCCCTAGAGCATTCTCCATCCCAGCATATAAGCGGTGCTGGATGGACACCTAATAGTGCTAGATCCCAAAGCTCTGAGCAGCTGCTTTATGCACGGTAAGACAATACTTTTTACAGCTAAATGACCCTTCAGTAAGAAGGCTAGGCCACTAAAGGGGCTACAGAGGAGTTAATTATCAAGCAGTAGGAAGGTGCTATATAATGAACCTACATCCCAAAAGCATCCCAACTTTTTGAAGTAAAGGTGCATAGGCACAAAATAGAACTTGACAGCTATTTGTTTATACGTACCCACTGAAGCACAATCTTTCTGACAAGCTTAACAGGAATATGCACAGTACTAGAGCTCAAAGTGTCTCAACAAGTCCTGCAGTGGCAGCTTAACAAAGGACAAAGCACTTGAGGAAAAAAGAAGATAAAACCACCAGAACTAAGAATCCATATCTCCAGCAGAACCTACAGCTCAGGCAGGCAGCCAAATCATAGTTTTCATGCTTTACTATAAAGCCTGAAACCCTCAATTAAGTGATACTTTTTATTCTGATTATCCCTTGGGATGCCCAGAAGCCCCAAGAACCGTGGCAGAGCCACCATTCCTTACTGCACAACTGGGGCACAGTCCCAAGGGTTTGCCACAAGGAGGTAAAAGCTGTGAATCCTCACCAGAGCCAAGTGTCCTGCCCCTTCTCTATCCCACAGCTGAACTGACATGAGCTTCACCTCTCTACTTTCTCATGGGGGAAACCAGCTAAAGCACCAACGTGACACAGCTG